TCGAGTTATTGCAGAATTATTGAATACGGCTACATGTAGCCGTGGCGTGGCTACAAATAAATAATTCCTTTTTTTAATTATTTTATATTTATACAAATTATTATAATTTTATAAATTATTATATATTCTTTAATTTGTAGATAAAAGCAAACAAATTTGTCTATTATGCTTTTTTTTAGCTCTGATTTATTATTTAAAATACAGTCGTCCTCCTCTATAATCACGCGGTTTGTTTTACATAAAAATGATGTGATTATAAAATTTTAATAATAACGTGATTATACAGTATAAAGTTTTTTTTAATATATAAATAAATTGCCAATAATTTTTTAAAAAATGGTGCTTATAAAGAGGGTGTGACTATATAGGAGGTGACTGTAGAGGAGGACGACTGTACTATTAATTTTTTACAAGTAAAAATGATTCAAAATAAACAAGGATTAAGATTTATCTTTTAGTACAAAGAAAATAATGAATAAAGCACATACAAACAACAAATACAATTTTACTAACTATATACTGCATTAATACTATTAAATATAGCCAAGGCCTTGTATTACTCCTGATTATTGTAAATTTTATGGACCATTGACTCAAATTACAACCCGAATCAGGTTTGACCCGGATAATAGCTCTAATATATACAAAAAAAAAAAAAAAAACTTACATTATCAAATACAGTAACTAATTTAAAAATTATTTTTTATATAATAAGCATTAGTTTTTACTTTTAACTAATATAAAAATCTGTTAAACTTGTTTTTTTTTGTTTTTTTTTTTTATTTTTTTTATTTTTATTGTATATAGCCTACATTACCGGTATTTAATAATGTAACTTTTTGCCACGATTATTAGACACGTTAAAAAGAGTCTTATACCTCACTGTAAACCAGTTTAACTTACAATATTTACAATATTTGTAACTTACATGAGGTCATGCAACCTATATGAACTAACAATCTAAGTTAAATTTGATGCCATAAACATCCTGTGTACAATGTACAGTATTTACATGGTTTCCGCGGAAGTAATATATAAAACGTATGCAAAAAATAAATATATATTATATATATACTGTATTAGCAAACTAAGTTATCAAAAATCAATTATATATATATATATATATATATAAGATGATATAAAAACAATCAGCTTAAGTGTTTCTGAAATCATTGACCAATAGAAATTCAATTTACTATAAGATCTGACTGAGCGGAAAAAAAAATTCATAGAATTGATCATCTATTCCTTATTTTACGAATTGTACTATCGTTATCATTTGATTATGACGATAGTAACTATTACAAAACGGGTAATTACCATCATTATAGATAATAAATTTTAGGGGGAATCGGATAAAAGACAATTACTTAAATCCGTCAATATTTTTCACGTTAAAATAGATCAAAAATGACAACAAAATTCTTTAATAATTTGTCCTTTGACTTGTTGATACTTTTAAAAAAAGGAAAAGGTCGAGACGTAATTATTCATGTTGGAAAAAGTATAGAAAGTAAACCTTTTGAATTACATTCCGGAATTTTATTCGTTCGGTGTCCGTATTTATTTAATGAACTAGATAAACTGGATTATAATGAAAACCATATTAAAGAAATCACCAAGCCCGATATTTCTGTCGATGTTTTTCAAATCATCGTCACGTAAGTTATTCTTTATGAATTCTTTAATTTAAAGAGTGGTCAACAAAAAGCTTATTTCATTAAATTGTTCATTCATAATGTAGGTACATCTATGGCGGAATAATTTCTTTTGAAAATATAGATTCCAACATAATCTTTGAATCATTAGTGATTGCTAATGAATTTCAACTTGGTGAATTTGCAAAATATACTGAAAATTATCTGATTCAGAGTCATGAATTTTGGATTCAAACTAATTTTTCAAAAATTTATCGAGCCACAATTGAGAATGACAATTTTGGGTCATTACAAAAATATTGTGTAGATATCGCTGCAGAGCATCCTGATTTATTATTCGATTCAGATGATTTTACAACTCTTCCCGAAAGTGCTTTTGTTTCCATTTTAGAGCGGGATGATTTAAAAATGAGCGAAGCTGAAATTTGGGACCAAGTTATTAAGTGGGGAGTTGCGCAAAATCCTTCCCTCCCACCTAATCAAAATCAATGGTCTGATCTGGATTATTTAATTTTAAAAACTACTCTCAAAAATTGTTTACCTCTTATCAGATTTTTTCAATTTACTGGCGAGGAAGTATTAGATAAACTACGTCCATATCAGAAAATTCTTGATCCAAATTTGTGGACGGATATTATGACAAAATTCATGGCTCCAAACAAAAATATTAATTCAGTAGTTTTACCACCTCGGCAAAGCAAATCAATAGTCAAGCCACAGAATCAGCAGCAAGTTAGCGCCGAGTTAAAATATAAGATCGTTTCTACTAAATCATTTACTATGAAAATTACTTCACCAATACAAAATCCTCAACAATTTGAATTAAATTCAAATATTATTTCTACAAAGCATGCAATTGAAATTATCTCATGGATTGACCGTAAAAAATACAAATTCGATGAAATAATTCCATATCGATTTTGCTTGCTTACTAGAGGTAATCGTGATGGATTTAATGGAAAGGCATTTCATAGTATGTGCAAAGGAATAGAGTATACTTTGACAGTTCTAAAAGTTAATGGAACAGGTGAAATTCTTGGTGGATTCAATCCTCTAAAAATTCCAACTGAAACGGAAAGAAAATGGCTTTCTACGTATGATAGTTTTATTTTTTCATTAAAGGATGGTGGTAACTCTATTTTAAGTAGAGTAGTAATGACAGACCGTGCAATTTGGCATAATAGTATGAATTTTTTAGGACCACATTTTGGTTCTGAAGACCTTGCTATGATAGGAGATTTTCAGAATGAGAAAAGATGTTTTTCTCGCCATAAGTATTATGAGAGACCTATCAGAAATACGTGTGATAAATTTTCAGTTGATGAATATGAAGTATTTCAACTTCAACATTTATAACTACGGAATTCCAGACGCATGATTAAATGCTTTTTGCACACGAGACAATTACAGAATTGAGGAATGCGAATCTCAACTATTTTTTATCGAAACAAAATCTGTATGTTTCTAGTGATTAAATTGATTATCGAAAAATTCGATTCTACAATTATATCTAGCAAACAAAAGTTTCTGTTTATTGGTACTAGTTATTGGTAATTTAAAGACGGAGCGAATAAATTAAAATTTGTAAATAAAAAACATAAGTTATTTGAAAAGATCAAGGTTTTTTATTCAAAATTAAAAGTACTGAATAAGCTTCAAATACTGGCATTCGCAAATATAAAAAAAACGAACAGTGTCATTTGTTTTAGCATTATTACTTGGAATTTATTATTTATATCTTACCAACATATTACGTAACACGCGTATATATGTAGGTATTTAATATCTGATATAGAATTCCTACAAATAAAATAATAATATAAACCTTAAAAAACGAAAAAACCCTTATTTTTACTCTAAATAATCTTCATTTTCCTCTGATAATTTCAACGCATTTTCGATATCATCCCAAGCATTTTTAAAATTTCCTTTATCTCTATAAACTGCACCACGTTCACACAATGCAAAAATGTTCTTAGGATCATCCTGTAATGAAACATTTAAATCCTTCAAAGCATTATCATAGTCTTTATTATTTCTATGTATTGATCCTCTGAAACATAATGCAAGCGCATTATATTTTTTATTATCAATTGACTCATCATTATCAATTTCCATATAATTACTATTTAAATTTACTGCTTCGTCTAAGTCTTTTAAAGATTCTACATATTCTTTTCGTAATCTATTAATATCCCCTCTAACCACATACAAATGAACCATATTCTTATCACCGGGTGTATTTTCTAATCCTTTTGTTAACACCTCAATAGCCTTTTCATAATTCTTTTGCTCTTTATGAATTTCTGCTTGATAACAAATAGCATCAAAATTATTTGGATCCATTTCTAGAATTTTATTGAAGGTTGAATCTGCTTCTTCGTATCTACATAGTTTTATGAGCATCTTTCCACGACTCTGCAATGCGGTGATATTATTTGGATCAATCTGTAATAATTCATCCCAATCTGTTAAAGATTCTTGATATTTTTGCAATTTCTCCAATAAAGTTGCTCTTTGTAAAAGTAGTGATGTGCTTTGTGGCGATAAACTTAAAGCTTTATCCAAATCCGTTTTGGCTGTCCTTGTTTCATTGAGCTTTTCATGAATTAATGATCGTAATTCAAACGATTGCTCATTTTCATTAAATTCTAAAGATTTGTTTATATCTGCAAGTGCGCGTTTATATTTTCCTATATAAAAATATGCTTTACTACGATCACCATAAACACTTGATTTTTTGGGATTTAGGTTTAATGCTTCGGTGAAATCACTGATTGCTTCCCCATATCTTCCTAACATTAAAAATGACCTTCCTCGATATTCAAATGTTGATGATCGTTTTTCTCTATCAATGGCTATGCTTAAATCTTGAATTGCATTTTCATAATCTTTTGTCAATGTATAAATTTTTCCTCTACTTTTTAAAAGTTTTGGATTCGTTGGTTCAATATTAATTGCAATACTTAAATCATTTAATGCCGCAGGGTACATTTCCTGCATTCGGTAAAGCTTAGCGCGTATTAAGAGTGCTTGGATATGATTTGGATTTATCGACAAGACCCTGTTTAGATCTAACATTGCTTCGTTTCGCTTATTCAAAGCTATATAATTTTTTCCACGATCGGATAGTGCATTTATATCATTTGGATTGATATTCAATGTCTTTGTCAAACCTTTTATAGCATCATCATATCTATTAATAATCATCAAGTATTTAAATAGTTAGTAAAAATTTATTTTCTAAACGTGATTTAACGATGAATTTTCCTCACCTATTTAGTTGTGTATAAACTTGATTGCGCATAATTATGGATTCTTTGTCAGAATCATTAAGTACTAATGCTTGATTTAAGTCTGCTAGTGCTTCTTTATACAATTTTAATATTTGATAAACCTGAGCACGTTGTCTATACGTTGACCCTTTTTCTTTTTTTTCTAATGACGCAGTAAAATCCGCAATAGCTTCATTATGACGTGATAAACCAGCATATATCAAACCTCGATTTTTTAACGCGGATGCATTAAGCTCTCCTCCATAATGTACAAATTTTTCAATATCTCCTAATGCATTACTGTATTTTTTTTGAATAAGATAAGTCTTTGAACGTTTTATTAAAATATTTAGATCATGTGGGTTTAATCTTAATGCTTGAGTATAATCAGTTAAGGCATCTTTAGAATTGTTTGACTTTCTATATATAGTTCCTCTTAATTCTAAGATATTAACATTATTTGGTTGAATGACTAAAAACGAATTAAAATCATTTAACGCTTCTTGATATTGTTTATTGTCATAGTACATTTTTCCTCGAATCTCCAAAGCCCATGTATCATTTGCTGATAACTGTAAGATTGAATTAAGTTCATTAAATGCTTTATCACGATTTCCAAGTTCATAGTTATGCCTTGCACAAATTTTTAAAGCTTCAAGAGCCAAAGGATTATCATCTTTAATTCTGAGTGCTTTACTTAAATCACTTAATGCATCCCCTCGAAGGTTTAATTTATCATTAGCAATTCCTCTAAGATAATATCCACGTTCATCATCTGGTTTTTTATTAATATAAATATCAAGGTCTTCTTTTGCCTTTTCATATTCATTTAAAAATAAATATGCTTCTCCACGATCACATCTCATAGAACTATCAGGACTGTTTTCAATAAGTCCATTATAATATTTAATTGCCTCTGCGTATTGACCTGCCTTCAATGCTTGAGCAGCCTTTCTTCGAGCAGGACTAAATTTTTTCGATATATAATTCATGTATTTGTGTTTAAAATGAGGTCAATTAAAATATAATTAATTTTAGTTCGTTCTTATTCCAATAATTTAATAATCATTCGCGATAAATATTAGAAGTTTTTTAATTTATATATAAAGTTGTGTGCTAATAAATCAAGCTTTACTTTCTGATTATACGTATACGTTTTATGTAATTAATAATATTTAATCGGAAAGAAAAGAATAAAGAACTTTTAAAAAGATGTTATACAATTTATCAATTTTAACGGCGCAATTAAAACTCCGACTTAGGGTATTCATTTGTAACATCTAGTCATTTTTAATTGTTGTAATAGGGTACTGCATATACTCTTTATGTGTAAGAATTAAGCAATTTTTCGACGTTTACGTAACACTCAAAAAAAACATCAGAGCTTTTAATTTTATTTGTACATACGTACGTACGTACGTACATACATTAGTTCTGAAATAAAAATTTTATTTTTCTATACCTTAATATTCTCAATTAATCAAATTTGAATACCAGGTACGTACGTACAGTACGTACGAATATAATATGCGCGCAGTTTAAATGTGTACAATACATATTTAACATGTACAAAATATCAAAAAGACAGTACGTATATTTAACGAATGTACATGAAGTGTATTCTGGCATAGAGATTTTGTTAGGTGAAATTCCAGATGAAATAAATCTAGTGATAGTAAAAAAAAAGGTCCTAACGGAAAATTAAGGAAGCTTTATAGTTAACAACGGATTTTGCAGTAAAATTGTAATATAAACTACAGTTGGCAAACTCAATGTAAAACTGGTAGTAAAATTCTCGCTGATGCAAGGAAGTTTTTAAGTATACTATATATAGAGCTATATGTATTTTACTTCTTTTTACGCAACTTTAAATGTTGTTTTTTGCTATAGTTGCTGGGGTTAACCATCAGCACTACAAAAACCCCTATTCATAGGATGAGTGTGTGTGGGTTTAGTGTGAATGCCTGTCTTAACTGAGTTGCCACCCAAAAATTCAGATCGTGTATCAAAGTCTTTCACGATAAGTGGGCTAACAAAAATCCAGGGTTAGAACGGAGCCTCGGAAAATTGTTTATTGAAACAATTTTCCAGACACTGGCTTAGAATATTTATAAATCTATTTCATCATCCGGAACATGTGTACGCCAGTACGTGGGTGAAAAATATCACCTGATTAGGATACGTATTATAAACCAATAAAATTGCTTTTTATTTTTATCCTAGTATATACTGTAGTATGAGAATCCGATTTCAGTCAGATTTAAAGAATAATTTCGGCTGCCTAAATGCCGTAATTACTTTTTTATTAAGATGGGCAATTTAGGCACCCATGTACTTGGTCACAACACACTAGGTAAGTATGAACAAACAGATATTGTTGCAGTTAAATTATTTCGTGGATCAAAAAATAGCTGTAAAGAACTTGTAAAAGAGGTAAATATTTGATAACACCAATATTAAACTTCATTAAGCTTAGTAGATATTATTATTCAGTTATTAATTTAATATTTTAATATTTTATAAATTTAAAAAGTTAAAAGCATATTCAAATATTGGGAGTAAGAGTCCAACATTTTTACAATGTTATGGAATTTCGAAAGATGAAGTCACAAATGATTATATTTTAGTGATGCAGTATGCAAAAATGGGATCTTTACGTCAAAATCTTCATAAAGTTGCACAAATGAAATGGGAGAAAAAATTAGAATTATTAACATACATTATATTTGATCTTAAATTATTTCATTTGCATAATCTTATTCATCGTGATTTACATAGTGGAAATATTTTCCAAAATGATTTATATAATGCTTATATTGGTGATTTAGGGTTTGCTACTGCCATTAATAAAACATTAGACTTAGAATCTAAAGGTGTTTATGGAGTTTTGCCGTATATGGCACCTGAAATTTTACGAGGAAGCACACTCTCCAAAGCATCAGATATTTATTCTTTTGGAATATTTTCTGAATATGAAAATGATAATTTAAGACTGACTATAGACATTTGTGAAGGATTAAGACCCGACTATCCTTAAAGGGACGACACTATGTTATACTAAACTTTAAAGAGGTGCTCGAGTGAAGATCCAAAAAAAAAACCAACAGCTTTAGAAATTCATGAAATTATTTTAAATTGGAAAAATAATCCTGAATTCTTGACTGAATTTTTAAAACCTGATAATGTAATGGTTATAAACTCTAATGTATTTGATATTGATAGTAATGTTAATTCGTTTTATAGTAGTAAATTTATTAGTAGTATTAACCTGCACATATCTGCAAATGAAATTTCAAATAATACTATTGATTTTATTAATTTTAATAAAAATTAAATATTAGTATTGGATAGTGCCATTAGAAATGAATTTATTAGTCAACCAATCAAATTGCGAAATTTACAAAAAGACGAAACCATGGGATTCAAGGGGATTCAAAAAATATGTTG